CAGGTCTTGCTCATCTCTGTGCTCTGAGCCAAGGTTCAGGCACAAAGTAGGTGCTCAAAAAAACGTTGTTGCTCGGAGCTTGGGATGCTTAAGCAGTTCTCCCTAAGACAGAGGTCCTCACTCTCTTCCTGACAGCCCTGCAGGGACAGGAAGAGAGTGTCCTGCCCCAGAGACTTCTCTGCTTCAGCTGGACAGATGCGGATCCCTCAACATTTCCCTGGGGCTGGGCTTCAGGGCTCTACCCTCATGCTATCTGGCTGAGATTCCGCACTCATGTTCCTGGGCAGGCGTGGTCTCATCAGTGGGGAGTCTTCCGAGGTGGGATGGAATGGTGAAGGTAGCTGAATGTGGGGGTATGCGTTATCTGTCCCTGTGTGGTCTGGTACACCCCACTAGCAGGAGGCTAACTCTTCAGTGACCTAGCTTTTACAGAGAGGACAGCAGAAACTGGGCTGGGCTAAATTGTGGGGTGGAGTGAGAGTGGGGAGAGCTGGGGCAGAACTGGGATGGGCAAGCCAGGAGAACTGTGCACAGGGACAAGTCAATACATGCGTGGGCTTGTGTCATAGTCAGCATTGTCCCCTTACCTTCCTCTGAACCCCAGTGCAAGCTTATGCTTTGTGGAACTTACCATGGCCTGCCTTCAATCATGGCTATTCATCTAATAACAATGACAAGATAGGCCGCTCTGTGCCGGGGTGGTGCTGCATACTTTGAGTTCATCACCCCATGTAAGCCCCACAGCCACCTGCTCTGGTAAGTGTCATTGTTGCCCTTTTATAGATGAGTTACCGGAGGCTCAGAGACCTCCATCGTTTCTAAAGCAGCCCCACTGAATAGTGTACTATTCTATGCCATTCTGTTGTATTATCTTCTTTTTTTTTAGATTTTTTTTTTAAATTGGGGAATTGGGGGATGGGAACAGCGCTGGGGAATTGGGNCCATCTCCCTGGGCGGCTCCTGGCCAGTGGCTGAGCCAGTGGAGGTGCTAGAGCCAGGCCCTGTTTGTCAGATGCAAGAATCCTCTAATGGGCAACCTTTGCTCGGGTCTCCCCCTTGGCCTGGCTGAGATGTTCTCAGGACCATGATGGGTCGGGGGCTCTTCCTCCCAACTCTCCTTCCCTCCCCCATCCTTTCATAGGTATAAGACTGTGACATGGTGTGAAGGCTCTCCCCACTCACTCCTACCCCCTCAACTCTTGTCTTTCACAGGCATTTCCAATAAACCTCTTGCGCTGCTAACTTTGCCTTGGTATCTGCTTTCCAGAGAGTTAGAACTGACACATGGTGTAAAGTGGCACCTGCACTGACCAAGGGGCACTCAGTTATTCCCAGCCAGAGCCTTGCTGACCATACTTTGGGGGGCAGGCCAGAGGGGACAGCAGATGTCTCACTGGGTACTGGAGCACAGGGACAGCCATGTATTGTGGGTAGTGAAGGGAGGGCTTTGAAGTCAGCCTTCCCAGTGTAACTCCCAGCTCTGCCCTTTACCAGGGCAGGTTAGTTCATCTCCTTGAGTCTCAGTTTCCTCATCTGCTAAATGAGGACAAGCCGCCTGCTGCCTCATGAGGCCCTTGTAAAGCTCCAGTGAGTTAATGCACGTGAACTGTGGCACAGAGTAAACGCTTAGTGTCTCTTCTTCCTTGAAGGAGAAAGACTGTGCAGGGGATGGGGAAAGACGCCATCTCTGAATTTATTGCCTCTAGCCCCAGAAAGCATCCTGGATTTGGGGGGCGGGGCTGCATGTGCTCCTCCGAGCCTTGGCCAGCACACTCTTAAGAGGTGTTGGCATCACCTGGTCCCCTGCCAGCTGCAGGTGGGAACAGCGTACCCTGTGCTGGTGGATGGGGCAGGACAGAATCTTGGTACAAGAGCAGGAGGCTGAGATGGGTTAGCTGGTTGCAGCCGAAGCAGGACCTGGGAATCACTTGGCCCAGTGGTTTCCAAACACCAGACATTTGACTGCTGCTTTAGAATCAAGCAGGGGGCTTTCCTAGGACCTGGCCCCAGAGCTTCTGGCCTAAAGGGCTGGAGTGGAGCCTGGGAACATGCGGTCGAATCCCTCTGACTGGTGATTCAAGCGTACACACAGGCAGGCCAAGAAACAACTGTCCGGTGCTGGCCCAAGGTGTATGCCCATCTGCCAGGTCAGGGGATGCCTGTCTCAGATGGCCTGGGGGAGAGGGGTGGTGTGCCTGGAGAGCCTTCCAGCCAGCAGAGCTTCAGTGGCTTCTAGTTTATGTGAATGTGCATGCTGTGCCGTTATGCTTCTGAGTTGGTTGTGGAGAGGAACAGACTCTGATGAACTGGGCTCTTTCCCGGTGGCTTTGAGCTACCCCTGCTCACTGCTGGATGCCTCCAAGACAGCAAAGGGAGAGTGGGGTGGTGTCTGGTCCTTCTGGGAAGCCTGGCTCTAGGCCCTTAAGACTAAGAGGGAGATGGGTCAGGTGCTGAGTTCCTTACCTCCAGAAACAGTC